CAGTGTATATGAATCCATCATGGTTTGCCCTATTCGACCGCCTTCATTCTATCGTAACATGAAATAGTTAGGTGCTGGTATGATAGGTCATCAAAACCGCACTAGTACAAAAATAAACTTTTGTTGCTTTCACTGTTGACCTCACTCTGAGGAAATCGACATCACTCACCTAGTCTTTTTCACCAGTTGGTTTTTGTTTGTACGTGGCTTTCAGCTGGGCCGACTTTATCGAGAACAACGCGATCTGTCTTTGGCACGAGCACAACGGTTGACTGAGGAACGGTCGATTAATTTTGAGCGCGATTTGCTCGCGAACGGTGAATCCGCTTCCGTGGCCGCCTCGAAAGCATTCGCGTATATCGATTTGCATGGTTTGGACAAAAGTTGTGCCATGACTGTGCTCAAACAACGCATCCAACTGTTGGAAGCACATTTGCAACTCCCGGGCCGGATGTCATCCCGTGTTTGTGTCATTGTAATCACCGGTAGGGGTGGTAATGCGGAGTCTGATTTGATAACCACTTCACCCATATTACGACCAGCAGTGATTAGCTATTTCAACGCAAATCAATACCCATTTCAAGAAAAGTACACCACGGGATCGGGATACTTTACTGTGACTGTGCACAGACGTCAATGATTTACTGTGAACAAGGATATGACACAATCGATATATTATGAATACCGCTCGAGTCATCCGTTCCAATCATCATTTTTCTTTCTTCTCACTGTGTGAATAACTCTTTCAATGACTTTTTCATCTCGGTGGGTCAGGTTTTATAGCTCTATCGACGATCTGTCCTATCGAAAATTTTCCAGTCAGATCACAGAGCGGAACAGTTTTATGCTTAAAAACAAAACCAAATAGTAGAGGCATTGTTAGAGATATTTTTCTTGATTTACTATTAAAAGCAGCAGACGTTGTCAATCTGTTGCTGCTGCATTTTCATGGCAGCATCGTCCTATGTGGATTTTGTTCGACGTCCCCCCCCTCTTTTTTGCGCCAATCCCTTTCACATAAAAGAAAACCGGTTATTACACAGATGTCACGCACATTTTCCTTGTAATACAGGTTTTCACCAATCTAATACTACCACTACTAGTACTGCATAAATCCATCCACAAGACCAGTGCCGAACTAAGCATAGATGTTTATTGGAAAGAACGACATGCGTATGGGGGCAAATCGGGTTACGCAAAACGAAGCGCCTCATTTCATCAAATCGTATTTTCACGAAACACTCAGGATCAGTGGTCGAACAGTACAGTGGTATTTTGACATATCCTGTAGATACAACACTGTATATACCAGTGCACTCCAGGATGCATTGTTCGTTTTTACGTATTGTGAGAATCCGCCAACCACTTCCTCCTGTGCGTCCAAAACATACTACTCACTAAGGCCGGTAACAATACGCTATACTTCCCTCCCTGGCGAAAAGTAATTAGGTAAAGGTGGAATAATTATTCTTGGATATTCAGAACGTGTCTGCTTCCGGTTGTCGTCTGGCAGCGTCATGCTTGATTTGGGGGTAGTCGGCTGAAGGAGTCGATTCATTTCGATCAGGTGGTAGGTATGTTGCCGGTTTCCTCGTGTCGTATTTCCAGCTCATTCCGGTGCACCCGTTTGAAGTTTGTCATCCGTTGTTTCTTGTTCATAGGGGGACGTTTCTCAACTATTTTATATGGAACTTTCATTGAGCGAAGAGTAAGAGGAAAGGGCAAATCGGGACTAAACACCAAACCGGAAACAGTAGACGTTATCTGTATTTTTTCATGTTCATCCATTTGTTATTAGCATTTTTGTAAGTAATATCTCCAATCTCCCGTATTTTATCCGAATTATATAAATGATGATGCATTAGCCACAAAACACGAATCACTGAAGACAACTCGTGTTCACTAAATTGTGTTCTATTCCAAATAAGTGTTGGTGGTCTACTGAGAACGGCAGTCTTGAATGGACCCCCACCGGCGACAGCTGGTGGTGATGGGATCGACTTGAGTCTTTACTGACTGGTTGGTTACTGATGTTCGTCAGAATCTGTCACTAATGTTTGCTCAAGTTCTTTCTGGATATCCCTCCCGGAAGGAAACAGAACCAAAAATTGGGACTATAGAAATGATATATTCTAAAACTTCCGAAATGTTGGAAGTAAGTTTGACTATGCCTAGGTTGTTATTTTAGCAACGGCCGTGGAAACCTGAAAGTAGATCTGATCAATGCAAGGAAAGCGTGCGATACCAAGCTCTACGTTGGAAATTGTGCCGGTGAGGTCTTTTTGAGCTCATTGAAAGCACGGTAATAGTTAAAGCAAAACATAATCCCGGAAATGTCCAAGTTACTATATCTAATGAAAACACTTTCCCTGGAAGAATACTATCACCAAATAATGGCGATACATGCTAAATCTCGACGGTAGTCTTGATTACACCCGGTGGAGAAGGGTCCTTATGTTAGAAGGAAACTAATATTGGTGGCTTAGCTTTTGTAACAATCGACGGACTAAGTCACTACTTGATATCTGAACCTTGATGGTTCTGATACGTATGCCATGGTTATGTAACCATGTCCTGATAATCCTCAATTATACAGGACTGGCTGGAAACTGAACTTGTCCTGATGATAGTTAGCAGCATAGGGTGAAGGTGCTTCTGGTCTGTGATTTGATGATCACGTCCAGCCTGAATGGATCTATCAGGAAACTTAGAGAAAAGCAAGTGGCAGGAAAAGAAAACTGTCGTTGCGAAACTGTCGGTTGAAAAACTGCTACATCAGCCTCACCCCAGAAGGCTGGAAATAAGCAAACTTCGACCAGACAGCCAAGGTACCGACTTCTGGAGAGATCGCCTTGTAGTCATGTCTGTGGCGGAACCATAAAACCAGGTGTTATAACTATGACCAAAATTGCCCAAGTTTTCCGCCGCACTTTGGCCTAGAGTGAAACTAGTTGTGGGTTACCTATTTATGTAAAGGAGGTGGATCCTCCATCGGCATGTTTAACTGTTTTGTCCATTTTATGGTGCATGGTGAAGGGTAATGCGTGTATCAATGACTGAATGAAATGTGCACGGGAGATGAATTCTCCGAGTGTTCCCTGGAATAGTTATTTGTATTTGTATTTGTATAACTTTTACAAGCTGAGATATGCTTACATTTCACTGGTCATCATACCAGAGAAAATATAGAAGTATAAATAAATTCAATAGAGTGCTATGTAAAAAATAAATGTCTCTACAGTTTGATTCATTCAATTAAAGGTTTACGTAATTTATTCATAAGTCGTTCCTTGTTGGTCAAGATGCGAGCCAGATATGGTACAGTGGAGTTTTAATAAATTTTATTCGAGAGNGAGTAGGTACCGATAAGAGGAAAGCGTGATCGAGTGGGAGCGACAGGAAGATAAGTCAAAATGCAAAGGATGGGTGGGGTCGTTTAGAATCTTAATGGCAAAGGTCATACAAGACTTCATATGACCATTAATAAGTTCTGTGATCAATGACTCGGCAGAAATTAAAGATGCACGGTCTAGTATCATTAATCC